GGTGAGCTTTTGCTTCTATCTCCTATTTGAAATGGGGGCGGGGTGTGTGGAAGGATTGAGCGAAAAAACAACTCTTGGATATGGACAACAGTGAGGTGATTGCTGGAGGAGTGAGGGTGAGTGGTGTAGGAAGTTATGGGGGGATAAATGGTGATGGACGGAGATTTGACTTGGGGTGGTGAACACACAATACAGTGTACAGATGACGTGCACCTGAAACCCTTATAATTTTGTTAATCGTTGTCACCCCAATAAATTCAATAAAAAGGAAAAAAAAGTTGAAATGGAACACCTTTTTTTTTTAACAGATTAAATTTCAGATTCTACTGTCTAATGTTTAGAGATAACATGAAGTCATTAGGTAATGATACCTAATGGAGAAGCCACTTGTGTTTAGAATGCTGCCCAACCATTCACTTCTTCAGGTTTATTTTTATAAAAGGTGCCAAAACAAGTTTAAGTTTATGCCTTGTATGCTCATTTTTTTTCTATTAAAAAAGGCATGTTTATTATTTTTCTGCTTACCTAAACCAGTTTCTCAGTTTACTCCTAAAGGATGTAAATCATTTCCTTTCTTCATCTCATTTCTTCATTCACTTCCTTTCTTCCTTTATTTTTTAAGCATTTATCTTAGTATAACATATTTATAGAAAAGGGTTCATATTTATGTTCTACTTAATGAATTTTCAGAGTCAACACACTATATTTTCTCTCAGGAAATTGGTAGAATTGGCTCCTTGTTCCAAATGTTTAGAAGTTTCACAACTTGATATGCCTTACTATGGATCTCTCTTCATTCTTTGGGCAGGATATCCATCCTTTTGTGCTAATCCTTGTTATGGAAACTTAACGACCCTGATTTTCCTTCTACATGGTCTGTTTTGTCTTTCTAGAAGTATTCTTTTTTTTAAACCTCCTTAACCAGTCCTTTAACCATCTTATCTTTTCTCTCTTATTTTCAGTTTAGTCCTTTTGTTCTACTTTGTGGGAGATTTTTTCAGCTGTGACTTCCAGCTCTTTTATTGAATTATTTATTTCTATTCTCATATTTTTAACTGCTAAGACCTTTTGATTTTTGATTCTTTGTTTTAGTATGCTATTCTAATTAGCTTCTCTTATGTTTTTTAAATTTACCATAATGGTTTTTTGTTCTCTGTGAAATCTCTGTGTCCTCAAAGTTTCTTTGTTTTTTAATATTTTATTGATTTGAGAGAGAGTAAGTGGAAGAGAGAGAGAGAGAGAGAAAGAGAGAGAGAGAGAGAGAGAGAGAGAGACACCAGTTGCCTCCCATATGCACTAGGTTAGGGGGATGGAACCCGCAGCCTGGGTGTGTGCCATGACCGGGAATTAAACCAGCAACCCTTCCGTGCATGGGGTGATGCTCAACCAGTTGAGCCACACTTATAAAAAAAACTTGTGGGTTTTTTTTGTTTTGTTTTTAATATTAGATGCTTTCTTTGAATGTCTGTTTATCCTTGACTACCTGCTCATATTTCAGGGTGGAACTCTAAAAGCTGATATGAAACTGTGCATATAGGTGTGACTTGTTGACAGTAACATTTTCACTGTATGGCTGATCATTTCTTTGGGAAAGTCTGATGCCATTATTTTGTAAGGGTCTCCAGAGTGAACATTCTCCTACCTTGCACCCAACAATTCAGAAGTCACGTGGGGGGAAAATGCTAGGTGCCTGTAAACTTATGTAATTTTCTTTTTCTGTGTCTAAATACAGTGACATTCCGAGGAACTGGGGTTATGACTTTAGCATATGAAAATTGAAGGAGACACAGTTTGGCCTATAACATAAGCCCAAATTCAGGGGTCCTATGTTCTACCCTCTCTGGAGAGCAAGCTTCACATGCTTTGCCAGAATAAGAGAGGTTCAGTTATGTGGCTATGCTAAATAGGGAAGGACTTCAGGAAAGTTGAGGGTGGGAGGGCATCTAAGCTTCTTAAATGAACTTTCTATCCGGAAAGTGGTTCTAGGTCTGCCTTCCCTCTGATCCAGAGGTATTTGGTCCTGCCAATTTCTGAGCCTTAAAGGGATCTTGTTTTACAAATGGGTTGTTGATTCTTAACATTCTGTACTCCTCTAGTTTAGGATTTAGCTTTATTGACTCTGCTACGTCAGTTATCAATCATCCCTTTGGCTTCTCAGCTCGCAAAGTTTTGTTGCTACTTAAAATTTTCATTCTTCTATCCTTGCAGGTTTATGCCTGAAAAAAAAACAACCAAACACACACGCACAACATCTTTGCTTTTATTTGGGATGTGGGGGAGTTAGAGGGAACTAACTGCATGTATTCAGTTTACCATCTTTAACTATTTAAAATTATAAAAATACTAGAGGCCCAATGCATGAAATTCATGCAAGAGTAGGCCTTCCTTCCCCCAGCTGCCTGCACTGGCTTCTCTCTGGTACCCGGGACCCGGGCTTCCCTCGAAGCCCCGGCTTCGTCCAGAAGGTCGTCTGGTCTAATTAGCATATTATGCTTTTATTATCATAGATGATTGTGGATAATATTTTAATTTTTAGAAAAGTACCAGGTAGCCATATTTTAAGAACTTACTATGTGTTAAAGGCTCTTTTAGGTACTGTGTTATGAAACAAAGGCATCAGAAATTATTTTCTCAGGTAGAGGAAAATTGTACACAAAATATGAGATTGAAGAATACTTTTTGCCCTGCTGGGTGGCTCAGTTGGTTAAAACATTATCTTGATATGCCAAGCTTGTGGGTTTGATCCCCAGTCAGGGCATATACAAGAATCAGCTAATGAATGCATAAATAAGTGGAACAACAAATTGATGTCTCCCTCTCTCTAAAAATTTTTTGAAAGAATACTCTTATAATGAAACAGGCTGGTAAGGGCACATTGTATAGTACAAATAGAGCATATTCTGAGGTAATCTCAAGGGAACAAATGCAGATGAATTTGACCTTGAATGACTCACTGAAGAAGGTGGATTTCAAGCAGTGTTTTGAAAGTAGCTTTCAAAAATAATTACAACAACTATGAAAGTCTTCCCAGGTAGAGCTTCAAATTGTTTTTACTGGAACTTACTGTGCTAGGTATTTTGCGGGTTTTTAGAGGGGAGGGGGGGGGAGAGTAAGCCTTGTGTGGGAATGGTTAAATAGATTCATTTTACCAGAGCAGGAGGTATTAGGTAGGGAGAGAGAATGTCAAGGAATAACAGTATGATCTAACAGACCCGAAGAGATTAGGTGAAAGACAATAAAATGAAAACAGATATTATGAAAATGAAATCTCTTGCCCTAATAAAAGCCAAGTTCAAGAAATAAATGATATTGAGAACCAAGGCTGACCTCCATTTGGAAATAGTTAGGATGAATATTGCCCAGTTATTCTTCTCAGTAATTTCCCAAGGCTTTCCATGAACTTTTTATCCCAGCCATACATTTCTCCTTGAGGTATGAACCACCATAGGTAGCTTTAGCTTTCTTGTCTGAAATTGGAGCCAGGCATGTATTTTTCAGCGAATTAGGTTTTCTACTTTGTTAAATGACTCAAAGTTTAGGGGATATTTCCATATATGTGACTAAATTAACAAAGATAATTCTTATTTTTCCCTTCTTAAACCAGAATAAAAGCTATAGATTTTTTTAAAAAGGAATCATTTTGAATTATGTTATGGCATTTCATTATTCTTAAATTTATATTTTTTAATAAATATATTTTCATTGATTTCAGGGAGGAAGGGGAAAGAGAGAGAGAGAGAAACATCAATGGTGAGAGAATCATCTATTGGCTGCATCCTGCATACCCCGTAATTGTGACTTCCTGGTTCATAGGTTGACACTCAACCACTGAGCCACACCGGCCAGGCTGTAGATTATTTTATTCACTGTAGCAAAGCTGAATATTTATATCATCTAAGTATTATGATTAACTTGATGTCAGTATCTTTAAACGTTTAGTCCATCACATGGTTCTTAGGTTTTCAGTGTAGATAACTTAAATTATTGATTAGTATACTGGCCTCCTCCTCCTGAAATTTCTTAGCTAAAGGAATTTTAGTTTAAAAATAAACATACATATAAGTTGAATACTTTTAATGCAGTGTCTTCTCATGTCAAATTTAGAATTTACTTTGACATTTTCTTGTGTAATTGTCTATGCTTACAAAGCCAAAAACCTGACACTTAAACTTAAATAATGGTATTGTCCAGACTGCAATAGCCAGCACATCTGATTTCTACTCCTTTTTCCTCATATTGTATCAGCTATAGCGTTCTCTGTCCTCAGTCCAATTGAAATAGAAAAACTTTCTTAAATTTTTCTTAAAACTTTTAAAATCTTTAGTTAGGATGTTCTTTTGAAATGATAGCAGCCTTTTGTAGGAAAGATGTTGAAATTAGTATAGTTAAATAGTTGAATAGAATAACTGAACAACCGAACAACCCCACATCTGGTCGCTATGATGTGCGCTGACCACCAGGGGGCCCACGTGGAACATGGTAGGCATCGGCCACCGCCGGATGGTGAAGCAGGTGAGCGGGGGCTGCCAGACCAAAGCTGGGGGCCAGTAGGTGTCATCGGGGGCGAGCCTTTGGTGGGTACTGAAAATTCTTTGCTCCTGTGCACCATGGTTGCACCCAGGTGCTTGCACCTGCTGCTGGTGTTGGCCCCACTCGCATCCACTGCTGGCGCCTGGCACCAGCCCCGATCGCTCGGCACCATCAGCGGGTGTGAGCAGCAGCTGCTGGCCCAGATTTCGCCTCAGGGCTTCTCCACCTCCCCCTGCTCCTGAGGGGTGATAGGG